ATGACCTTAAACCAATCTCTGCTGTATTGCTTCAGAACTTCATATCTTAATCACAAAAATGCCAGCTTCTATGCTGGGAAATTAGTTAATATGACTTGACATAAAAATAGCCAATCTGTATTTAACACTTACCCTTTGCCAAGCACTATGCTAGATTTCAAGGAAATTAACTCCTTAATCTTTATCACAACCAAGTGAAGTAGGTACTATGTCTCCATTTTACAGATGACAAAATAGAGGCTCAGCAAAGTTAAGTAACTTTTCTGAGGTCACACAGCTAGTTAGCACCAGAAAGAATACTCAAACTCAGGTCCATCTGACCTCAAAACCATCCTTAGTAGATTTCTATACAAGGTTCTCTCATTTCCCTAGGCCAACTATCACCAAAGGGATAATATTTCTTCTGTCCTTTCATCCTTCTGGTATCAAATTAGAACTCCTGTTCTCCAGAATTCTCCTTGATCATGTACACCTAAGATGGTCAGTACCTCTTCATCCAGCACTACCTGTATGTAACACCTAATCTTTCCCACTGGACTGTGACCTCAGGGAGGGCAGGAGCCTCTAACTGTGATGTGTTCACAGTTAGAACCCTAGTGGGTAAGAGACTGTTTTGCTCCTATAGGCACTCAAGAGGTGTTTGTGGGACACATGGATTCATAAATAAAGATGACACTCCACCGTGGTTGTGATGGTTAATTTTAATGTGTTGACTTGATTGAGCTAAGGGATGCCCAGGTAGCTGATAAGTCATTATTTCTGGGAGTGTCTGAGAGGGTGTTCTCAGAAAATACTGGCATTTGAATCAATAGACTAAGGAAAATCACCCTCACTAATGTGGGTGGGCAACATCCAATCCACTGAAGACCTGAATAGAACAAGAAGTCAGAGGACAGGCAAATTTGCTTTCTGCTTATACTGCTTGTCCATCGTCTCCTGCCCTTGGACATCAGTACTCATGGTTCTGCAGGCCTTCGGACACGGACCTGAATTTATACCACTGGCCACTGGTTCTCAGGCCTTTGGGCTTAGATCAGAACTACACTACTGGCTTTTCTGGGCCTCCAGCTTTCAGACAGGAGATCATAGGACTTCTCATCTGTAATAATCAAGTGAGCCAATTCCTTCCTATATATCTATATATGTCCTACTGGTTCTGTTTTTCTGGAGAGCTCTGACTGATACAACAGTTCTTTTTATGAGAGCAGAGGCTCTCACTGCTTTCCTGGGAATCAGAGAAGCAAGTGAAGCTGGGGGCATGCTTTTGAAAATGCTGCAGATCTCCAATCACACTGATCCTTTGATTTTAAAGGAACTCAATTTTCTTTGTGGTATGTGAGAGACAACTATGTCTTAAATATGTAACACAGCAATTTTTTTTTAGCTCTCTTGTAGTGGCAACAGACAGAACAATTGGTGTCTGAATGTACACCCACAAAGGTAAATCTTTAGGATTCTGGGAGTACATATTGTCAGCAATGAGAGTTGCATTAGAGGTCAGTGCTAGCTAAAAGCATGATCTTTCCTCTTTAGGGCTAACTAGGACTAGCTACCAGATTTGAGGGGCCCAGTGAAAAATAAACATGTGGGTTTCATCGTTCAAAAATTATTAAGAATTTCAAGACAATGATAGCAGAGCATTAAACCAAGTGTGGGTCGCTGCTAGGCATGGGACTCTGTAGGACCACACAGGTTATGTGTCCATGAAGTCAGTCCAGCAATGGACAATTCCAGAGCTCTTACTAAGCTCTTCACCTGTTATTTATTTTATTTTATCCTCATAACAGAAGATAGTTTTAGGCACTAAACATTCTAGCATTTAACAGAGAAAGGTTTTGTTCTAACTGAATGGCAGAAAGGGACTGACAATAAGACCATAAGAAGAAAAGAGAAAAAAGAGGAAGACAAGGAACCAGAGGTACCTGTGCCACTCTGATCAATCCCAAATTAAAACTCAGCTGTACCTTTCTTCCATTTGACTTAAAAATGGATAGGGGATAGTAAATGGTTTTGTTGATGGCTGTTGTGAAACCTCCATTCTTGTCTCCTTAGTTTAAAAGAATTTAGACAAGAGATACACAGCAAAGGAGAGGCCTCATAGAACAATTTATTGCAAAGAAGAAAGAGTATTCTGAAAGCTAGGTGCAGATGAGACAGTGCACCCTGAGAGAGGATTCAGGGCAGGCTGCTCGTAAGGATGAGACAGCAAAGACTGGCACTAGGGAGAGTTTCTTTATGGGATTCTTACACAATATTATGAACAATATCACAAGGGGATATACATACCTTGCGATAGGGGAGTAATATTATCTTCTCCCCCATTGGCCATTATGAAGAATACTGAAGCAGATTGTACACCTCCTGCAATATGAGGAATAATATCATTTTCTCCCCTTCTGGATATTATGAACAATATCACATTAGTGTGTATACCCCCGTGATATAAAAAGTAATATTAAACTCACCCCCAGAAGATTACAAATGATTTCACAGGGGGGTTTACACCCCCTGTGATATGGAGAGTAATAGTATCTTCTCCTTTCCTGGTTATTATGAATACTATCACAGAAGGCTGTACATCCCCTGTGATATGAGAAGCAATATTATCCTCTTCCCTCCTGGATATTATGAACAATATCATGGGGGGGGTGTATATTCCTTGTGATATAAGAGTAACATCATCCTCTCTCCCCTTGGTTGACAGACAATATGTGTCAACTTGACTGGACCACAGGATGCCCAGATATCTGGTTAAACAGTATTTCTGAGTGTCTGTGAGGGCACTGAGTAAAAGAAATCACCCTCACCAATGTGGGTGGGCATCATCTTACCCATTCAGGGTCTGAATAAAACAAAATGGTAGAGGAAGGGAGGATTCACTTTCTCTCTGCTAGACTTCTTGAACTGAATCTTTGATTTTTTTCCTGCCTCAGACTGGAATCTACACCACCAGCTTCACAGTCATCCGGGCTACAAACTACAACATGGGCTTTCTGGGTCTTCAACTTGCAGACAGCAGATTGTAGGGCTTTTTGACCCCCATAATCATGTGAGCTAATAGATAGATAGATACAGATATAGGTACAGATACAGATATCTATTCGTTCTGTTTCTCTGGAGAACCTCGACTAACACAGAGCATCTGATGAAATTAAGACTCCCAGCCTCCTTCCCACATTGGGCACCCCACGAAGGCTGTATATTCTCAAAGCAAGTAATTAGAATATTACTCTCTAGAACAAAATAAACAGCTGGTCCTTGCCCCCTCATCTTACACGTTGTCCAGCAGTGAACAAGCCTTGCCTATTTCCCCAAAGCACCTTTTTAGAGTATCACTTTTACATATAAATTGACGGCAAAAAACACCACACAAGATGAAGAATGTCTCTAGCAGAAATAACAGAGACCAAAACATAACCAATCAACCAAAAAAGACTCGAAAGAATCAAGGTCAATGCAGAGTTTTGTAGAAAGCATTTTAAAAACCCAATAATTTACATCTTCAGAGATAAAAGCAGCTATATTCATGAAAAAATAATGTAATGCTATAAAAGAACAGAAAATAAAAAGGGCACTTAGTAATGACAGTATGATAAAAGAAAAAATAATCTGATAGTCATTTGTCCAATTAAGTTGGAAAAGTCACAGAGAAAATAGAACAAAAAGATAAAGAGATAGAAAGTAGGACAGACAGGTAAGAAAAACTATCAGCCAAGAAGATCCACAATCTAAATAACAAATTTCAAAAAATAAAAGATACAATGGTGGGGGGGAGAAATGATCAAATCTCCCAGGAGAATTCCCACAACTGAAGAATATGTGTTTCAGGACTGAAAAACTGATCAATAGGAATGAGAAAAGACCCATAACCAAAACACTCGATTATATCTTAGAACACTGGGAATAAAAAGAAGAGCCTAAAGCTTCTTGTGACAAAACAGAAACGAAAGTGAGTTACATATCGAGAAATTTAGTGACCTGTGAAGCAGAAGGAAATACCATAATGTAGAGTTTCTCAACAATTCTGAAACCTAAGATATTGTGGAACAAGCCCTCCAATATTCCGAGTGAAAGTTATTTTCAACCTAGAATTCTGTGCTCAGCCAGAATAAAAACAGTTCTAGACATGCACACTCTGCGGGAAAAAAGACCTGCAGCAAACTCCCTCAAGGAACTACTGGAGGATATGTTCCACAACATGAGGGTATATAATCAAGAAAAAGGAAGACACAGATTCAGGAAATAGAGAACTCATCTCAGGAATAAGGAATAAAACCTTTCTAGGATAGAGGTGAAGGAGACCCAAGGACATCAGTTGAGAGCTGTGCCTTCCAAATTTTGATGTGCATAGGAATTACCAGGGGATCTTGTTGCAACGCAGATACTGATTCAGTAAGTCTGGGTAGGCCCTGAGATTTGGCGTTTTTAACGAATTCCCTCACGATGCTGAGGTTGCTGGTTCAGAGACTACATTTTGCATATCAGAGGTGTAGAGAAAAAACAGTCCAAATCCTAACAAGAAGACTACGGTACAGAGAGACACACACACAGACATTTATCTCCTTCTCGGAGATAATCAGAAATGAATTAGTGAAAACCAATAACTGTACAGTTGGGGAGGGAGAGGGATGGAGGAAAAGGAGAAAAGGATTAATATTTTAAGTAAATACAAATGAAGAAAAAACAAGGAAGGCGCTGTATTTACGGCAGCCGCATACATCCAACCCTGTCTCTACTAGACACCTGAAGAGGAAGGTTGGACCACACGAACGGATTCAGATTTAGTAGCCTGGGGGTCTCTGGAGCGACCCTGGAATATACTTCAGAAAGCCTAGATGCGGACCACGCTGACGGACGACGCACCTTCACCACGCCCTGCCCGGGAGCGGGCGGGGCCTCAATGCGCCAAGCGCCGGGTCTCACGGGGCGGGGCATGGGCGGAACCTTTCCTTAAAATTGGCGCGCCCGGGCGGTGCTGGGATTCGGATTGGAGGCTTTTGAACCCGGAAGCAGTTGGTGGCGCCCGGAAGCAGTCGCGGATCCGGGCATCCTGGTGGCGCTGCAACTGCAGAATGGTACGCGGTGGCGGGAAGCGCAGGCCCGGCGGGGAGGGGCCGCAGGTACTGGCAGAAAGGGTGTGCGGGCTACGCGGGGCGCTTTGGGTGACAGCCAGGGCACCAGGAGGCAGCGCGTTTCATTTTGCCAGTGCCTATTAAGCTTGCTGTGTGTCCGGGGGTTTCGGTTTGCTGCGGGGGCCCTGCCCAGGGTCGCTGTTTTTGTGCTCTGTAGGGTTTGGACCAGGAAAGTAGCCCCTCTGCGTCTTCGGCCCTGCTCCTCTTGGCGCATTTCCTGGGGAAACGTATTAAGCCAACCAACGGTTCGTTCACTCACCCTGCCAGATTGATTGGGAACCCATTACATACCAGACATTGTGTGGGGCGCTGCGGATTCGGGGTCAACCCGTCTGCCCCTCCTGCTTTTAGAGCCCCCGGCCTAGCGGGGAGAGGCACAAGCTAAAATGCATTCTACTGTGACTTTTTAGTTTGGGATTATAATACTTGTGTGTAGAAAGTGCTGTGGAGACACTGAAGGAGGATTTAATAAGTCCCAGGGGGTGTTAAAGAAGACTTGTAAGAGAAATCTTTGAAAATGAGTTTTGAAGGCAGAGAAGTAAGATTCTGAGACGTAAAAGTGTAGGAGATGTTTGGGCATAGCGGAGCGTTCGGCTTTGCTGCAGCCAAGGAAATGGGAAAGTAAGAGGAGCTAATCATAAAAGCGCTACTGAGAGAGGAGGGGAAGAAAGTATGTGCGTTCTCTCATACTTTACGACGATTTCGAAAGTTCCGTAACCACTACAGTAGCAATAAGGGGAATCAGGCAGAAAAGAAGTGCCATTGTGATAACTAAAGTTTTTAGAAAAATTACTCTGGCAGTGTTATAAATCGGACAGGTGAGACATTCTAAGAGGGCTTGATTAACTTGATTAAAGGGCCATGGGTATAGGCATTCTTCATATTGGGTCATGCATTCTAGGAGTACCAGGTAAAGGAAAAGTGTAGCCTCTGAAGGGGACAGCTGTCCTAAATTCTAGTTGTTAGGGTTATGGAGATGCTAAACTAGTGTGTGAGTGAAGGCACAGCTGAAAACATTCTCTTCGAAGATGCAGTGAAGAACTGCTTTGGTGGAGTGCTGCGCTTAACGAGAAATACAATACCAGAAATGATGAGTCTATAGAGACTATAGCCATAATGGCCAGCATTTGCGTATTATGTGCTAGGACTGTTCTGTGTATTTTTACATATAATAACTTATTACTTGTAACAACCCTTTGCCCTTTTTGCAGATAAGAAAACAAGGCACAGAAAGGTTGAGTAACTTGCTTAAGGTTGGAAATCAGTACAGTCAGAGTCAACCAGACAACCTAAACGTTATGCAAAATTGCGTTTCATAAAGGCAGATTAAGCCTTTTCTAACATCTTAAGTTGGAGCCAGTCTGAAATTCTGACCAAAGACATTTACAAAAGCAGAAGATAGGATAGCTCAGGGCTTAATATGTTCCTACTGTTCCATATTTGCAGTTGGAGAAGAAACATAATGAAGTGATGAAGAATCTGCTGTGGAGCCGGATTTAAACCTGAGTTTAAATCCTTTCTCTTCCACTTCCTAGTTAGGGACATAGGGAAGTTAGCCTCAGTTTCCTTAGCTGCAAGATGAGGTTAATAGTATCTAGTGCATGAGTTAGTTGAGGATTAAATGAGTTAATCCACAGAAAGTGCTTAGAACAGTGAAACAGCACAAAATAAGTTTTCAGTAATTATTTACTACTTGTTTTTACTATTATCTTTACTGTTACTATTTGCTATTATTGATACTCACTTTTGATACTCATTTTTCAACAGCCTTTTTGTTCAACGTAATTCTTTTTTAAATCAGATGCATTATAATCCTTAGCATAATAAACTGTTACCATTGTTCAAATCATGATCGTTTTTTACCTTATTTATGTTAAGTAATGTAACAAACACCTGTGAACCCATTGCCCAACCCCAAAACTGAAACAGACAATGGCTCTACATCAACACGTGTTCCTCCCCTATCCTTTAAGCCTTCTTCTTGTCACTCATGTTCAGTGTAGCTATCCTGAGTTTTATTTTCCCTTGCCTTTTTAGAATAGGCTTATCTCCTATGAGTGTATACTTAAACAATGTTTATTTTTAGTTTTCGAACTTCATAAAAAGGCTATCATTCTGGATATAATCAAGAACTTTTTTCCTCATTAAAAATATTTAATACAGATTGGTCCATATTGTGTAGTTATACAGTAACCATTCAGCAAATGAAAGAATGGTTCCAGGACTCCCACACATCCCAAAATCCAAGCATACCCAAGTTCCAAAGTTGGTCCTGTGGAACCCGAGTATACAAAAAGTTGACCCTCTCTATAAGTGGATTTTGCATCCCAAGAATACTGTATTTTTTTAATTTGCATTTGGTTGGGGAAAAAAAGTCGTGTATAAGTGGGTCCACAAAATTCAAACCCTTGTTGCTGAAGGGTCAACTGTAATATTAGGTGTAATAGTCTTGCTTGGAAGCCTTATAACTATTCTCCTACCAGTAGGTATTTCATTTGTTCTGTTTGCTCTTGGAATCATCGCCATCATGACCATTTTTGTGTCACCTGATTCATTAATACATTTTGTAGATGTTGAATGATATCTAACATAACATTAATAAACTTCAGCCTACTGGGAAAATTGAAGAATATAAATATGAGAAATGTCTAGCTGAGAATTTCTCAACTTTAGCACTGTTGACATTTGAGCTAGTAGTCTTTGTTGAGGTTGCCTATCCTGGGCATTGTAAGATGTTGAGCATCCCTGGCCTCTGTTCCACCAGATGCCACTAGTACCCTTCTTCCAATTCATTACAACTACATAGGGCTCCAAATGTCCCCTCTGGGGCAAAATCACCACCAGTTGAGAACCACTGCTCTAAATAGAATAAAAAGGAAAGAACTTAATTTAAAAAGAATGAAACTGGGTTCCTAGAAAGAAAAACAGATTGCTTCTTAGAAAACTAAACGTATGTAACCTCCAGTTATGTATATTATCTTTACAGAAATTTATCAAATGTCTAATAGGCAAAATAAAACCTAGCATACTGAACCTATATTGCAGTGGTGCTAGAGATGAGTATTGTAACCTAATCCTGGCATTAAAAGGTCTTTTCTGAAATAATTGGATTTTTGGCCTAGAGTTTAGTGCTATTCTGCTTTGTTAGGAACTGTGGATGTTTAACATTGTTAAAGAGAATGTTTAACCTTCCCTCTTTATTTGGAAAATCAAAAGGGAGGTGTCTGTTTTTATGGCTGGTTAATGATTGTAGTGAATAGCTCAGACACAGCTCTGGATGTTTCTGAAGAAATAGCTTTTTAAATGATGCATTGCTTATATCCAGTTACTTCTGTTTTCTGGTGTGATCAATGAATCTGCTTAAAAGACTCACATGTTTAACCAAAAGAGGGCAAAACCTGCCCTTTCTTTATTCTTCTCTTCCTGCTAGTACCTTTTTTACCTTTTTGTTTTTTGTGGTTTCCATTATCTTAGAAAAATATATTTAAAGACTTGCTGTGTGGATTCCTCTTAACCATGTAAACTATTCTTTTTTCTGTGCCCAAAGGAATTCCCAGATTTTACTCAAATACTATTTAGAGAGTTTTAAGGAAAACATATACTATCTCACAGAGTTGGGTGAACAAGAGTGAGTGATGTTATGCAAGGAGAGTTACTGAAATTACTAAAGATAATTTGGAGAAATAAAGTTTTGTGTGCCAATTTTCAGTGTGAAAACACAGTTGATGTGAAGAAAAGTAAATTTTGTGAAGCTGATGTCTCCAGTGACCTTCGAAAAGAAGTAGAAAATCATTATAAGCTCTCTTTACCTGAAGATTTCTATCACTTCTGGAAGTTCTGTGAAGAACTTGATCCTGAAAAGCCAGCTGGTGAGTTGCTCTGGAATCATTTTTGTATGTATGGAAAAAGTAATAGGAAACAGGCTGGGTTTAGTAGCTTACACTCTGTAATCCCAGCTGAGGCAGGAGGATCTCCTGAGGCCAGGAGGTTGAGACCAGTGTTAACATAGCAAGACCTCTTTACTACAAAACAAATTGGGAAAAAGAGAAGCTAGGCATGGTTGCCTGTACCTATACTCGTAGCTACTTGGGAGACTGAAATGGGAGGATCCTTTCAGCCCAGTAGTTTGAGGTTGCAGTGAGCTATGATCACTCCAGCATCAGTGACAGAGCAAGACCCTGTCTTTAGAGAATATATTAATTGGCCAGGCATGGTGGCTCACACCTTTAATCCCAGCACTTTGGGTGGTTGGGATCTTCTACCACTCGGCAGACAGATCATTTGGGGTCGGGAGTTTGAGACAGCCTGGGCAACACAGTGAAACCCTGTTTCTACTAAAAATACAAAACTTAGCTGAGTGTGGTGGTGCACCCCTGTAGTCCCAGCTACTTGGGATTCTGAGGCATGATCAGTAGTTGAACCGGGGAGGCAGAGGCTGCAGTGAGCTGAGATTACATCACTGCATTACAGCCTGGGCAACAGCGAAACCCTGTCTCAAAAAAAGAAAAAGAAAAAGGAAAAAAAAATATATATATATATGTTTTTTTTTCTTCAAAACCTAACCAAGGATATAAACAGTTCATAGAAAAGGAATATTTTCCAAGATGTTTCTAGTAAGAAAATATGGTAAATATAGATAAATGCTATAGTAATGTCACTGTCACCTAGTTTATTGGCAAAGGAAAATAATTTCATCATATTCTGGGGGAATGTGAAGGAAAGTAAGCACTTTCATATGTTGCAGGAGTCTGAGCTAATGGTTCTGCTTCCAAGAACTTGTCTTATGGATTAGATAAACTAAGAATTATGTTTGAGGATATTTACTTAAACAAAAAATGGGAAATGGCTTAAATACCTACCAATAACACAATTATTCAATAGATCTTTTAAATTGTTTTAAAAGAATGAAGCATATTTTTAGGAAATAATACACTATCATGCCTGAAATATGTTAAGTGAAAAAGAAGAGTGTATATAGAATATGCTACCATTAGTATTTTTTAAAAGGGGCAGGGGGAGCACAAACATATCCCTGTGCGCTTTTCTATGTGCTTGCTTTGTCTCTGAAAGGAAAAAGAAACTGTTACGGGGCTGTGATCATTGCTTTGCACTATATACCCTTTTGTATTGTTTAAATTTTTTAACTAGTAAGCAGTGTCATACGCTATTGATGGAAATGTATATTGATGCATATTCTGAATTTCACCAATAGATCAGAACTGTGTAGTAGTTTCTTTAAAAATAGTCATGTCCGTGTACAAACATTAGCAAAGATGTTCACTGAAACATTTTTAGAACAGAGAAAAGAAATAGTAAATCTTCATCAGTAAGAGAATAGATGGTTACCTCTTTATAATGCAGTATCATGCCGTGTTAAAAAATCACGTAAAATAACATTGAATAGCATGGAAAAATATTCAGAAAATTTAAGTGGGACATCAGAATGGAGGACAAAGGCATATTACAAAACAACCCGTCCCAGTTTGTTACATATTTGTACTGTTCATGGGGGTGGAGAGCATGGAAATCTGTTACTGTATACTAGACTATTAACTGTGTTATTTTTGGCTAATGGGATAGGTGGCTTTAGTTTTCTTGTTGCTTTATAAATTAGTGTATGCTCTCTTGAGCTCCAGTTGAGCTTAACTATTTTTTCTGTCAAACCATCTTCATCCTTCTATTCATGTTATTATTCCAGGAGTTTTTTTGCTTTCTTCATTTTTGCCTTCTTATAAAACTGGGTCCTGCCTGGAGTGCTGTCTTTCTTAGAAGCACCAATGACCCACTTGAAGTTATACATTGTATATTTGCACAGACTTCCTGTCTTTGTGGTTTATTAACACTCCCTGTCTGTAATCTGTGAATAGAGAAGGAAGATGGAATCATCTAGGGTTAGGGTTGGCCAAATAGACTGTCAAAGAATCAGGGTAATCCGGTGTGATTAGCTGAGGTAGAGGAAAGAGGGATAGAAATGTTTTTTACTCTTTTTCTTTTGTTTTTTTTTTGAGACAGAGTCTCACCCTGTCACCCAGGCTGGAGTGCAATGGCGTGATCTCGTTTCACTGCAAGCTCTGCCTCCCTGGTTCAGGTGATTGTTGTACCTCAGCCTCCCAAGTAGCTGGAATTACAGGAGTGAGCCACCATACCCGGCTAATTTTTGTATTTTTAGGTTTTGCCATGTTGGCCATGCTGATCTCGAACTCCTGAACTCAGGTGATCAGCCTGCCTCAGCCTCCCAAAGCGCTGGGATAACAGGTGTGAGCCACCACACCTGACCTGTTTCTTACTGCTCTTAATCCACACATTTTTGCTGTAACCTATGTGTACTACAAGTATACCTGTGCTGTACTACAAGCATTTGAGGCTAACTGCAGTGTGGTAATGGGACTATAGGAATACAGACCAGTCTTGCTTTAGCTAAAATAAGAAACAATAGGAATGTTTGAAATGTTAAACTAATTCAGTGGTAAATTTCAGAGGAAGTCCTAAATGTAAATGCCACTTTTCTGTTACTCTGACTTCTTTTCCATTGAATGTCTGTAACTGACATCTTCACACACAACTCAAGATTTTTTTACTTTAGAAACTTTTTAAAGACAATTGCTTAGAAATAGTTTACTAACTAAAAGCATTATTTCCTATCTGTCTTCAGAAAGTCTTGACTAAATGTTTTTTCTTTATAGATTCACTTTCTGCAAGTCTTGGACTTCAGTTAGTTGGTCCTTTTGATATCCTTGCTGGAAAACATAAAACGAAGAAAAAATCAACAGGCCCAAATTTTAACCTTCATTGGAGGTTTTACTATGATCCTCCTGAGTTCCAGACCATTATCATTGGAGATAATAAAACTCAGTACCACATGGGGTATTTCAGGTAAAGGATCTTTTCTTCACCTCCAAACTATAGCTGCTGTCTTGCTAATGAGGATAAATAGTGACTCACTAGCCTCACCCAAGGTGGAAGGCATATTTTCCCCTGTTGGTGGAGCCATCTGTTCTTGCTCTTACCATTTTAACCTTCCCTAGGATGGGTAAACTCTTTAGGTTTAACCTCATTAGTTTTTCCTTTCCTTGTAAACTTTTTTTTCCCTTTTGGGTTCAGAAGAGCTCTTTTGGCCCGATAAAAATAATTTAGAGCAGCTGTTATGACTTGTGCTTAATAAGCCGTGTGCTTCCAGGTGCCAGAGTGGCAACTGGGAGTAAGAGTGGTCTCTGGAGTCACATTGGTCCTCTTGTTTATTATCTGTGTGACCCTGTATCATTAGTGACTGTGACTTTCTGTGACTCAGTTTCCTGTCTTGTAGCAATAGGGATAATAATTGTAGGTACCTGATAGGAATATTATGAGAATTAAGTGAATGCATGCAAGATACTTAGAAGGTTAAGAAATAAACTCTAGGAGGAAGATACCTTGTCCACTTGTACCAGTAGAGATGCTGTCCTTTAAAGTGAAGGTTAAATGTAAGGTAATAGAAGTGCCCAGGAAGAAGTACTGTAGTGCGGTAGAATGTACATGGGGCTAGGAATTGAATTATACCTAACTTACTAGGACCTTCGCTGAGTAATTGAACCTCTCAGTATTTGTTTCCTCAATTTTAAAATGATTTGGTTATATATGTGAATATGATCTTTTGATCTCTAATGTTTTACAATCTTTTCTCTTGTTTTTTCTTTTTTTGTATTTGAGTATAAAAGCAACTAGGTCCTAAGAATCTTAATTTTAGGTTCCATAATATAAGATTTGTCAGATATTCCTAAGAAACGTGGAGCTTAAAACTGGCAAATATGTTTCAATTAAAAAAAAAATAAAAAGACCTTATAAACGAGACCTTAAAGGGAAAAAAAGGTGTAAATTGTTGTCTGTAGTCCTACAGTCCCACTTGCCTAATAAATTTTTAATGTCTTTTGCTTAAACAGGGATTCTCCTGATGAACTTCCTGTATATGTTGGTATAAATGAAGCAAAGAAAAATTGTATAATTGTTCCAAATGGAGATAATGTATTTGCTGCAGTCAAGTAAGAATATTTTAATTTCTCTTATGTTTGTTTACAATTTTTATACTATAGTAGTCCATTACAACGGGGGTGTGAGGGGCCTGGGCACAGTGGCTCACACCTGTAATTCCAGCACTTTTGGAGGCCAAGGTGGGTGGATTGCTAAGGTCAGGAGTTTGAGACCAGCCTGGCCAACATGGGGAAACCTCATCTCTACTAAAAATACAAAAGTTAGCCAGGGGCATGGTGGCAAACACCTGTAATCACAGCTACTCAGTAGGCTGAGGTGGGAGAATTGCTTGAACTTGGTGGCAAACACCTGTAATACCAGCTACTCAAGAGGCTAAGGCGGGAGAATCACTTGGACGCGGGAGGTAGAGGTTTCAGTGAGCAGAGACTGTGCCACTGCACTCCAGCCTGAGTGACAAAGTGAGACTACTATCTCCAAAAAAAAAGCAGGGGGGTGTTTGAGGCAAGCCCATAATTGTAGATTTCTAAAGATAATTTTTATGACTTTTATGGGTAGTCTTACTTATACTGTTATTTTGTCACTATTCAAAAAATAACACCTCTTACGTAACTGTTTTACTTAATGAAAATAACACTTGACCTCAGATGTTCCATGGCAAAATCAAAAGTTTTTTTAGACATCTGATTTTAAACACTTGTTAAGAGTTCATTACTTGTGTTTAGTTGAAACAAAAAGGTTTAATAAAGGAAAAAGAGATGCTTATAAAATCCTTGGAAGGGTTAAGGGAGCAGGTTGAGCTTCCAGGAATGACAGTCAGCTGATCAGAACACTTAATTTCTTTATATATTTTAAAATTTATTTTTATGGCAGAGGGAGTCAGGTCTTTCAAGGCAGACCTCTGATCACCAGATGTTACACCCAGAGAAAGAATTTTTTTCTGCAAGATTTAATAGTAACTAAAGAAATGCAAATTAAGCCAGAAAAGATTTTTAAAGGTTAAAGAATGGTAATAACCAATGATGGCGAGGGTATATGAACCCTTACTGGTGTGTTGGTTGGTAAAACCTTTGTAGAAAGCAGTTTGAAAAACGTTTAAACAACCATAGTCTAAGATTTCTTAATAGATTACATTACCAGGTACCGTGTGAAGTACACATTTATACCCTTAAGTTTGCAATTCCACTTCGAGCTCTTCATCAAACATATTTTGGACTGGTACAGAAATATCTGTGTTTATTACAGATAGTTTATTAAATGAGAAAATGGCAACAACATATCCAGCAATAGAGAAGATTAGGTAAATATAAACTATCCATATGCTATAATACCTTGGTATTGGTTTGTTGAATTTGTTACGAAGTGAGCAAATACCAGTAGTGTAGAATGATTCTATTTCATACTGTCTAATGCATATGGAAATAAACATACTCAATTTTTAAATATCTTTGAACAGCAAAGTTAGAAATGATTTTTTTTCCCTTCTACCTTTTTTTCCTTCCCTAAAATAACTGGGGCAAATAGTTTTGACCTTGGGTCAGACACTCTTAGAGTCAAAACTATTTGTGATTTAAAATGTTGTTTTTGGCCGGGCGCGGTGGCTCACGCCTGTAATCCCAGCACTTTGGGAGGCCGAGGCGGGCGGATCACAAGGTCAACAGATCGAGACCATCCTGGTCAACATGGTGAAACTCCGTCTCTACTAAAAATACAAAAAATTAGCTGGGCACGGTGGCGCGTGCCTGTAATCCCAGCTACTCGGGAGGCTGAGGCAGGAGAATTGCCTGAACCCAGGAGGCGGAGGTTGCGGTGAGCCGAGATCTCACCATTGCACTCCAGCCTGGGTAACAAGAGCAAAACTCCGTCTCAAAAAAAAAATGTTGTTTTTGCACCAATGGCACAAAGGCAATAGTGGATAATACTGTTGTCACCTTGGCAGGAATAAAGACAGTGCCATTAGAATAGCAGCAGTCATTGCATTATTCACAGCAGTAAATGCAAATGTGTTTAAGAATGTTTGTGATGGGGCCAGGCATGGTGGCTACTCAGGATGTTGAGGTGGGGGCATTGCTTGAGCCCAGGAGTTCAAGTTCATCCTCAGCAACATGGCAAGACCCTGTCCCTGAAAAAAATGTCAGTGATGGAGTATACATTTATTAGATGTCTGTCATTGAGTATATATCTTTAACATTCTGTGATGAAATAGGAAATACATAGAAAGCATCTCTCATAATAAAGTATTGTGGTTTATCTCAAGGGAAAAAGCACTTGTGTGATTGGGTTTTGAGATGAACCTTTTTCCCACTTTTAGAAAGAGTGACTCAATGACAAACTCTGGTTATTTGGATCTAGATACTGGCAGAAATTTTCTCAAATGAACCAAAGAAAACAACTGACTGGCTATATTTATTGCGAGTGATAAAATTCAAGGTTTCAAACAAAATAGATTGAGTAACTTGTAATACCACTGTGAGCTCAATAGCTTTTTTTTTTTTCCTAATGTTATGTAATGGGGTGAATTTGATATGTAAGTTTCAACTTTTACATCTAATAACTTAGCCACTATTTTGAAAGGGCCATTGCATGATGCCATATAACATGCTTGGGTACAAATTTGTTTGCATTCAACACATTTTAATGGATGTAAAGTCAAAGCACAAAATGTTCATGTTCATGGCTATGGCTTCAGTTGCACATTGCACCTTATCTTTAAGCATCACATAGCAAAGTGTTAGAGTAGGTTTAGACAGAGACAAAAACTTACAGAGATAGTCATAATAATGTGATATGTATAGGAAGGCAACTACCAAGTGCCTTCAATATTGGTGGAGGTAAAAGAGGATATTTTATATGGGCTTTAATGGATGCCTAAGAACTTACTAGAAAGAGTGGGAAGAAGGATGTTTTAGGTAAGGGAGCACTATGTGTGTGAAAGTAATAAAACTTAAAACTTGACTAATCCCAGTTTTGCACATATCTTTTAAATCTTTATTGTAGACATTAGAGTGCCAATGTAAATTTGAACCATATTTTCTCTTTCTGTGACTGGCAGTTTTTATTAATACTGCTTTTCTCTTATTTGAAGAAAACTGTTCGGGATTTCGAGAGAAGTGTTGGTAATTATTCTGTGGACTTATTCCTGCGTGGAATTTGACATGTTTAACTTGGCTCAACTTCCAAAGGTCTTTGTACTTAGTCCAGTGGCCTGCAACATAATGAGGACTTTTACTTTTTCAGATTATTTTTGATGAAAAAACTTAAAGAAGTAATGGATAAAAAGAAAACCAATCTCTTGAAAAACATAGATGAAAAACTCACAGAAACAGCCAGAGAACTGGGGTACTCACTGGAACAAAGAACCATGAAGATGAAACAGAGAGATAAGAAAGTATGACTTCAATCTGTTGGCCTCTGTTTCGCTGTTGAGCAGATGTTTTTCTTCTCTTGATTACTTCCCATCTCTACCCTTCTCTTCTCTAGCCCTATTTTTAAGAGATGGTTGCAGTCCCTCTGGGGGGCTAGGAGGATGGCACTGAAACAGGTCAGATGGCTCCTTTGGCTTGGTACACTGGTTGAATTGCATAACTAGTGATATCACTGCTGTGGTTGAATAACTCATGCTAGTATTTACCATTCTTTTAATCTTGTTTTGTCAGTTAATCACTTCATAAAGTTAACTGAAAGCTGCTTTGTACATAATGAAATTTACATACATACTTTTTCTCCAGTAAACGTGTACATAAGCAGTGCTTTCTTCTTTTTCCTTATTAATCCCATCATTTCCTTTTGTATTTCTCCTAATGTGTGCAGTGTGAGGGGAGTATTTTGTAAAGGAGAAAATACTTCGGAGTGTTGGATTCTTTTGGTTTTTCAGCTGTAGATTTCAGGATAAGTTAATGACAAGCTGGAAGATTTCTGCCTTGGAGTAAATGAGAATTCTGAAGGAGTTTGTTCTTATGGCCTCTGGGGAAAAACATTTGTCACTGGAAGGAGGGTACCCCAGTCTCCTCCAGCTTTTCACTGTTTGTTGGCCCTTGCTGGTTTGTCCCAATGTTCTAAGCTAAAGTGAGAACTTGCTATTCCTTAATAAACTAGCACTGGTAATGAAGTACCTTGCTGGTTCATCTGTATGTTCAAAGCTAAAGGGAGAACTTTTTTTTCCTTAATAAAATAGCAGTGGTAATGAAGTACCTTAGTGTACTTAGGTATTAAAATCCTACTAAAGTTTCTACTCTGATCTTGATTCAGCTGCAAGGGTGATATTCTGATAAGTTCTAGGCACTTTTTCTTTAGTCCTATGGACTGGAAAGTTTCTTAAAACATACATTTTAATGAAACTCATTATAACATGGCATTTTAAATATGAAGATTTTATATTGCCATTTACCTTTCTGGTTATCATAGGAAGCTTGTCCCACCTTGTGATCAGGAGAGAAGGGTAGCATTTGTAGTCTAGTTAATATATTCCTAATTTAGTTTTTTTGAAGTTTTTGTATTCATTTTATGTTGTGTTATTTAATTTTAATTTTTATCTTTTTAATTTTTTTCTCATAGATTATTGGGGTACAGGTAGTATTTGGTTACATGAGTAAGATCTTTTTTTTAATTTATACTTTAAGTTCTGGGGTTCATGTGCAGAACGTGTAGGCTGGTTACATAGGTATACATGTGCCATAGGGGTTTGCTGCATCCATCACCTGACCATCTACATTAGGTATTTCTCCTAATGCTATCCCTCTTTTAGCCCCCTACACCCTAACAGGCCTCAGTGTGTGATGTTCCCCTCCCTTTGTCCATGTGTTCTCATTGTTGAACTCCCACTGATGAGTAAGAACATGTGGTGTTTGGTTTTCAGTTCCTGTGTTAGTTTGCTAAGAATGATGGTTTCCAGCTTCATCCATGTCTCTGCAAAGTACATTAAGTCTTCCTTTTCTATGGCTGCATAGTATTCCATGGTGTATATGTGCCACATTTTTTTTGTGCAGTCTATCACTGATGGGCATTTGGGTTGGTGGGTTGGTTCTGTCTTTGCTATTGTGAACAGTGCCACCAATAAACAGGTATGTGCATGTGTCTTTATAATAGAATGATTTATACTTCTTTGGGCATATTACCCAGTAATGAGATTGCTAGATCAAATAGTATTTCTGGTTCTAGATCCTTGAGGAATTGTCACACTGTCTTCCACAGTGGTTGAGCTAATTTACACTCCCACCAACAGTGTAAAAGCATTCCTATCTCTCCATATCCTCTCCAGCATTTGTCGTCTCTGGTCTTTTTAATGATTGCCATTCTAACTGGCATGAGATGGTATCTCATTGTGGTTTTGATTTGCATTTCTCTAATGACCAATGATGATGAACTTCTTTTATATGTCTGTTGGCTGCATAAATGTCTTCTTTAGAGAAGTGTCTGTTCATATCCTTTCCCACTTTTTGATGGGGTTGGTTTTTTTCTTGTAGATTTGTTTAAGTTCTTTGTAGATTCTGAATATTAGCCCTTTTAGATGGATAGATTGCAAAAATTTTCTCCCATTCTGTAGGTTGTATGTTCACCCTGATGATAGTTTCTTTTGCTGTGCAGAAGCTCTTTAGTTTAATTACATCCCATTTGTCTATTTTGGGTTTTGTTCCCATTACTTTTGGTGTTTTAGTCATGGAGTCTTTGCTCGTGTCTATGTCCTGAATGGTAATGCCTAGGTTTTATTCTAGGGTTTTTATTGTTTTAGGTCTTAGGTTTAAATCTTTAATCCATCTTGAGCTAATTTTTGTGTAAGGTATAAGGAAGGGATCCAGTTTCAGTTTTCTGCATATGGGTAGCCAGTTTTCCCAACACCGTTTATTAAATAGAGAATCCTTTCCCCATTGCTTGTTTTTGTCAAGTTTGTCAAAGATCAGATGATTGTAGATGTGTGTCATTATTTCTGAGGGCTCTGTTCTGTTTTGTTGGTCTATATGTCTGTTTTAGTGTTCGTACCATGCTGTTTTGATTACTGTAGCCTTTTGGTATAGTCTGAAGTCAGGTAGTGTGATGCCTCCAGCTTGGTTCTTTTTGCTTAGGATCGTCTTGGCTATGCAGGCTCTTTTTTGGTTCCTTATGAAACTTAAATTAATTTTTTCCAATTTTGTGGAGAAAGTCAATGGCAGCTTGATGGGGATAGCATTGAATCTATAAATTACTTTGGGCAGTATGGCCATTTTCGCAATGTTGATTCTTTCTAATCATGACCATGGAATGTTTTTCCATTTGTTTGTGTCCTCTCTTATTTCCTTGAGCAATTGTTTATAGTTCTTAAGAGGTCCTTCACATCCCTTATAAATTGTATTTCTAGGTATTTTATTCTCTTTGTAGCAGTTCTGAATGGGAGTTCTCTCATGATTTGGCTCTCTATTATTGGTTTAGAGGAATGCTTGTGATTTTTGCCTATTGGTTTGTATCCTGAGATTTTGCTGAAGTTGCTTATCAGCATAAGGAGATTCTAGGCTGAGACGATAGGGCCTTGTAAATATAAAACTCATGTCATCTGTAAATAGAGATAATTTGACCTTCTCTTTTTCTAATTGAATACACTTTATTTCTTTCTCATGCCTGATTGCCCTGCCCAGAACTTCCAATACTGTGTTGAATAGGAGTGGTGCAAGAGGGCATCCTTGTCTTGTGACTATTTTCAAAGGGAATGCTTCCAGTTTTTGCCCATTCAGTATGATGTTGGCTGTAGTTTTGTCATAAATGACTTTTACTATTTTGAGATATGTTCCATCAGTGCCTAGTTTATTGAGAGTTTTTAGCAAGAAGGGCTTTTGAATTTTGTCAAAGACCTTCTCTGCATTTATTGAGATAATCATGTGGTTTTTGTCATTGGTTCTATTTATGTGATAGATTATGTTTATTTGCGTATGTTGAACCAGCCTTGCATCCCAGAGATGAAGCCAACTTGATCATGGTGGATAAGCTTTTTGATGTGCTGCTGAATTCAGTTTTCCAGTATTTATTGAGGATTTTCACATCAATATTCCTCAGGGATATTGGCCTGAAATTTTCTTTTTTAGTTGTGTCTCTGCCAGGTTTTGATATCAGGATGATGCTGGTTTCATAAAATGAGTTAGGGCAGGGCTGGGCGCGGTGGCTCAAGCCTATAATCCCAGCACTTTGGGAGGCCGAGGCGGGTGGATCATGAGGTCGAGAGATCGAGACCATCCTGGTCAAAATGATGAAACCCTGTCTCTACTAAAGATACAAAAAATTAGCTGAGCATGGTGGCACGTGCCTGTAATCCCAGCTACTCAGGAGGCTGAGGCAGGAGAATTGCCTGAACCCAGGATGCAGAGGTTGCGGTGAGCCGAGATCGCGCCATTGCACTCCAGCTGGGTAACAAGAGCGAAACTCCATCTCAAAAAAAAAAAAAGAGGGCAGATTCCTTCTTTTTGTTGTTTGGAATAGTTTCAGAAGGAATGGTAGCAGCTCCTCTTAGTACCTCTGGTAGAATCTGGCTGTGACCCTGTCTGGTCCTGGTATTACTGCCTCAATTTCAGAACTTGTTATTGGTCTATTCAGGGATTCAACTTCTTTCTAATTTAGTCTTAGGAGGGTATAAGTGTCCAGGAATTTATTCATTTCTTCTAGATTTTCTGGTTTATTTGCATAGAGTTGTTTAAAGTATTCTCTCATGGTAATTTGTATTTTTGTAGGATCGGTGGTGATATTCCTTTAATCATTTTTTTATTGCATCTATTTGATTCTTCTCTCTTTGCTTTATTCGTCTGGCTAATGGTCTATTTTGTTGATCTTTTCGAAAAACCAACTCCTGGATTCGTTGATTTTTTTTTTTTTTTTTTTTTTTTAAGGGTTTTTCGTGTCTCTGTCTCCTTCAGTTCTGCTCTGATCTTAGTTATTTCTTATCTTCTGCTAGCTTTTGATTTTGTTTGCTCTTGCTCCTCTAGTTCTTTTAATTGTGACATTAGTGTCAATTTTAGATCTTTTCTGCTTTCTCTTGGGGCATTTAGTGCTATAAAATTTCCTCTATTCACTGCTTTAAATGTGTCCCAGTGATTCTGGTACATTGTGTCTTCATTCTCACTGGTTTCAAAGAACATCTTTATTTCTGCCTTCATTTTGTTATTTATCCAGTAGTCATTCAGGAGCAGGATGTTCAGTTTTCATGTAGCTGTGTGGTTTTGAGTGGGTTTCTTAATCCTGAGTTCTAATTTGATTGCACAGTGGTCTGAGAGAGAGTTTGTTACAATTTCTGTTCTTTTGCACTTGCTGAGGAGTGTTTTACTTCCAATGATATGGTCTATTTTAGAATAAGTGCTGTGTGGTGCTGAGAAGAATATATATTCTGTTGATTTGGGGTGGAGAGTTCTGTAGATGTCTACTTGGTCTGCTTGG